ATGCCTTGGATTTGAGCTGGAAACAGTGTTGATAACACAGGGATGTTTCCGTTACTACCGAGAAGCGCTTACACAGAGGCCTTTTCTGCTCTTCAAACCCAAAAAAAGTGCACAAAAAGTTGGGAGGAGACAGAGCCAGGACAGCTGACCCCAGATGACCAAAGGGATATTCCACACCATATGATGTCATGCTCAGCAATAAATTAGGGGGAAGGTTGTCCAGGGCGCCACTGCTCCAGGACTGGCTGGGCATCGGTTTTCATTCGCATCGCTTGTCTTTCTTGGGTTTTATTTCTTTCTCTTTTTTATTTTCCTTTTCATTACAATTTTTTATTATTATTAATTAATTTTATTTTATTTCAGTTATTAAACTGTTCTTATCTCAACCCATGAGTTTTCTCACTTTTACGTTTCCAATTCTCTTCCCCCCCATCCTGCTGGGGTGGGGGGATGGGGAGTAAGTTGCCAGCTGGAGTTAAAACATGACAACAGTGTAGGGTTTCCAGAAGATTTCCATGCCTTGAAACTCAGCATTGTCAAGACAAGCCCACCTTGCCATCTAAATTGTTCTCTGGATCAAGCCAGAGGTTCCCATTTATACTTTCAGGTGCTAGTGGCCTTTAATGCTTTGGACATCCTGTTCCAACCACTTCATTAGTCCCTTTGAATGATTACTGAAATCCAAGATGAGCAAATTAAGTATCTTCCAGCTCATTTGCATGACATGTTCTTTAGTTATCGGGGAACACACATTTAAGTCTATCACTTGGTGCCAGGCCAATAGCCAATATCAAGAAACCAGGCAGTGCGCATCAGTCAGCTCACTGCAAATTGGCAATTAACATGATGGCTAGATAGGTTCATATGAGCATAACATTATTAATTAAACAGCAGCTGGGTTAATCAAGATAGCAAAAGTAATTTGTTGGAATAAATATTTTATTAGTGTGTCCATCAATAAAGCAAAAGAAGAGTTTTTAATTAATTCATTTATAAAAATATTCACACTGTGGTGACAGTAACTCTGTTTAAGGATCTGGAAACAGGTCTCATCTGTAGAAGGGTATATTCCCACTTTATCACTTCATGTTAATTGTACTGTAGATATCAGTTACCCAACTATAATTGGTAGTATGTTAGTTACAAGCCAAACATTGCTGTCCGCCTCTGAACAGCAATACCCAACAATTGATGCTAAAGGGTTCTTTTTCCTCTTTGCTGCTTTATTCTTTCAGAAATGTGCATTTTACCATTTAACTACAGAAATATATTCTTGGAATATAGTGGGTTATGAAATCTCCCAGCGTGATTAGAGACCTGATCTTTCTTTTTCCCAAAAAAAGACCATGAAATTGAGAGAGGTTTAATTTTTTTTTATTATTATTTCTCCTGGTATTAATAAACAAACAGATGGGGGAAGTGGTATATTTTAAACAAGCAGATGCCCTAAACACAACAGGTAGCAGTGATTTCTATCCGACTAAGGAGTATTTATCTACTAATGCTGAGAAATATAAAGAAATACTGAGAAACAGTATCCTGCTGATTTTGCAGGAAGGACATCATAGATTAGAAAAAGTGTGTTTCAAACACTGAAGAGAGTGGGAAAAGATTTACTTTAAGGAGAAGATCCACTGAAAGAGCAAGATGTAATCTGTTAGGACGGTTAAAAAAATCAGGCTTGCCAAGCCCCATACTTTTTTGGAGGGAAGAGCTCTGTGGTGGGTTCATCTTGGCTGGAGGCCAGGTGCCCACCAAGCAGCTCTATCACTCCCCTCCTCAGCAGGACAGAGCAGAGAGAAAATAAGATGGGAAAAAAAAAAACCACATCAGTCGAGATAAAAGGCAGTTTAATAAAGCAAAAGCAAAGGCTGCGCACAGAAGCAAAAGGAAAACAAAAGGTTTATTCTCTGCTTCCCATCATCAGGTGATATCCAGCCACTTCCCGGGAAGCAGGGCTTCAGTACGTGTAGCGATTGCTCTGGAAGACAAACATCGTAAATAACGAATGTTCCCCCTCTCCTCCTTCCTCTTAGATTTTATTTGCCAAGTGGACATCATATGATATGGAATATCCCTTTGGTCAGGCTGGGCCAGCTGTCCTGGATGTGTCCCATCCCAGGATCTTGCCCACTCCCAGCCTACTAGTGAGGGGGAAATGTTGGAGAGGCAGCCTCTATGAGGGCTGCTATGGGGAAAATGAACTCCATCTCAGCCAGACCCAATACAACCTCTTAGAGTATTTTTCCCTGTTGCTTTCTTTTTGTATCAGGTGGTTTATTACACATTAGACTGGAATTCTCTTTCTATGCTTTATTCACCTGTCCAACATCTTAAACGTGTGACAAATTTGCTGGAAGCCCTCACGGATAGATGTTTTATATAATGTGGATGGATATGGAGTACACATGTACATATAAAGAAGCAATTACATTTATAAAAGTAAAATTAATTTCATACAGAATACTAATAAGAAGAAAAAAGAAAGAATACACAATTGGAAAATGGTAACTAATTCTAAATCTTTGGTCTTCCTTCACAAACATTCAACCCAAAAGCTGTACTACAATTCATTTTTATCATGTTCCTAATTTTCTCAGCAGTTTTACTCTTCAAAATATTTCAGTCATGTTTAGGGAAAACAAACAAACCCAAGTGACTTACGCAGTCAAATTGCACAACATGAATGGTGAACAGGAAATATTGTAAATAAACAGGTGACATTGCCTCATGAAAAGCCATCTGTTTTCTGGTATTTGTGTGGTACTAATGCAATAATTATGTCATCTATATGTAATGCTCAGGTGGCACAAGCAATATACTTCAAGTACGATTGGGTTTTTGATCCCATGGAAGCTTCTGTATCATGTTGCTTCAGTTGTCATGCCTGGAAGGTGCTCTCAACTGTGATGTTTAGGGGAAAAATGTGCTTAATGTCTCAAGGAATCTGTAAACCAGTGCTGGTCCTGGCAGGGCAGCAGAACCACAAGATCCCATTTTCATTAATAGCAGGAGGCTGGACTCCTCTTACTCGCCCGCTCAGTCTTCAGCAAGTAAACGTGGGCTTGCACTGAGCCAGCCAGCCCCACCGTGGCTCTAGGTTCCATCCAGCTGCAGGCAACCATGACACTGGGCAGCCGCCCGCTCAGTCTTCAGCAAGTAAACGTGGGCTCGCACTGAGCCAGCCAGCCCCACCGTGGCTCTGGGTTCCATCCAGCTGCAGGCAACCATGACACCGGGCAGTGTGGGCTTGGTAGCTCAGGCACAGCTTGGTCCTAGCCATCTCCAGCAAGTGCCTCTTCCAGAGCTGGTTTGCATTTAGCTGGCTCAGAGCATCAGTACAACAAATTGGTGTCCACCTGGTAGAGGCTGTGGCAATACCACCCCAGTAAAATGAACCCCAAAAAAGCCAACGAAGCTGCTGATACTGCAGTCTGCTCAGAGCGAGAGGAAAGTTGGATTGAACTCACATTCCTGAAACACCAGCGAGGTGAATGCCCTGGAGAGGAAGCTCAGCAGGACTGTGCTGCAGCGCCTTGACAGCTCTCATTCACAAGTAACTCAGCTTTAGCGTACTGTAGCTTAATTCTCCATGGGAAAGATTAATCCCTTGGAGGAGGATTAAGCTACAGTGAACTAAGGTCACTTTATTTCTGAATGGGAAAGGCCACACAGGGATTTAATGTACTTTATCTTATGTGCATTGATTTCACAGCTTTAGTTAATTCATCTTAACTTCCCTGAATTCCCTTGTGTGGACAAGCCTTTTGTCTGCAGAGAGGCTCTTGGAGCTGCTTGTAAAAGCTCCTCGTGCAGCCTGACCAGCAAGCAGGTTGGAATGATTTCTGTGCCTCTGAAGGGGCTTATACCTGTCTAGATACTATTAAATTACCTCTTTCTCAGATGGTTGATCTGTGACACCGTTAGAAGTATTTTAATTAGATTTTTTGAATGGACTGGAGGAAAAGGAGTTTTCTTAAAACTAATCTCTGGGTTATTTTAGAAAGCTCTCATGAACAGTCTTTTCAAGGCTTTCAGATAGCACGAATTGTGTACAGCTGCGCAAACAATATTTTCTCAAGCACGGACATGTCTGGGCAGTGCAGTTTAATAGGTTTCCTTGCCCAGTGGGATTTTCTTCTTCTTTGGTGGTGGTCATAAGAAAACATTTTGCCTATATGGAAAGCAAATGAGCAGAGTTTATATTCCCTGATCCTAAAGATCTTAATCCCTTCCTCTTGGTGGCACAAGTGACAAAGATCCGGGTTGGGGAGGATGCTTTTGTGGGAGCTGCTGTTAAAATAATAGTATGATTTTGCTGGTGTTGTTCTTTGGTGAAATTAGTCTTCTTATTTCCTGCATAGTTAATGTGGTCTGCTGGTAGGCCCTCCTGATAAGGCGTTTCCTGATGCTGATGAATCATAACCCAGCTTTACTGTTCAGCTATGTCATGATACTTCACATATCAAGTTAAACTTTTGCCAAACAGTTCTTCACTGGGACACTTTATGCAACACAAAAAGACGTCTCTTGCGGATACCATACAAGCTTCACTATGACTTAATTCTGCAGCAGTCAATAAATATTTTATCTTTTTAATACGTAAATTAGGTGCTTAGGGGGCCCACATTCACGTGGACAAAGTCATGGGAGAACAGAGGTACTGAACAAAGGAATGTAAGTAGTAGCTGAACACCAACGGCCGAGTGTTTTCCACCAGTATTACTCAATCGTAGTATTCATCAATAGTCATCTCAGTGGGACTGGGAAAAGATTTTAAAATATAATGCAACATGAGCAAAAGAGGGAAAGTCTTTAATAATATATATTAATAATAGCTGTTTGTGACCATGTGCTCTGAAATTTACATACCAATACAGGAAATAGAAGAAAATCTTTTTTAAATTTACCTGTGATACCTGTATTTATATAGATTGTACTAAAAGCTTAATAAGTGTTCAATGTGTTCTAATGGTTGTTTTTCCTCTTCTTTCACACAGCTGATTGGATTTGTGTATGCCTGTTACGTGATCAGTATTTTCATGGAGGAGGAGGACAGCTGTAAGTACTGATACACACCTCTCCATCCCTGGAGCCACAGTACCTGGGGTGAGACTTAGTCTTGCATTAACTACCAAGGCGAAGAACTAAGTTTGAAAAAGTGGCAGAATCTGGCATTCTTGTACACAATCAATTGTGCTCAAAGGCATACTTCTATAGGTACTACCACCTTAATTAGGTGTCAGGACTGTACTTACTAAACTTCTTCATAGAGTTTTGTGAACCACTTGCCTGAGCCAGTCACACTGCTGAAAATCATGCGATCCACATGGCATATGTATATTTGTGTAAGTAAGTCTTTATGTATGTACACATAAATTTGAATCAAAGCTCCTGAAGCCATTTAATCTGTTTTTTCCAAATGACAGCTTTATTAGCAGCAAAGTTAATGGAGATGACAGATCAAGCCATTTACAGTGTGCACTACCACTCTGATCAATAATTAGATAGACCTGTTCAACACTTACAAGTAACAAGACCATGCATCTAAAATGCTGACCCCATGTTCTTAACCTGCCTTTATGAATTAAACCCTTATATACATACCCATATTGTTCAAAAAGTTTGAAAATGTGCACACCTTTAAAAAGGTATTTATCAAAAGTCATTAAATGGGCAATGGAAAAATCTGAATATGCTGAACATTTTGGTAGGATGCTATGTGAAAAGAGATTGTGAGAACTGCCTAACAAGGACACCATACCCATATGATTAGCATAGTGATTGGTAAAAGCATCAGCGAGGGTGGAATAATATTGGATGAGCAAAGAGAAGCAAATACAAGAATAAGTCTATTTAAAAAGCGACAGCGTGTGAACATGTCAGTAACTTCCTCTTATATATGACTAAAATACCTACATCTAGGAAAAAAAAAAAGTAACAAATGCCAATACCATTTTGTGGCTATAGGATAATACACAACCAAATATTTATTCATAAACTGTTATTCATAAATCTTAACACAGTTGTTTTGTTTCTTCACAGAATAGCACTAGTGGGGGAAATGAATATAGCAGAAAAAATTAATTCAATTTGCAGGAAAGCATTTGATAATATCTGTAAAATCTTATTGAAAACATAATTCAAGTAATTCATGGTTGTGATGGAAAAGCAGACTTTTTGATTGAAAACAGTGTGAAGGACCATAAGCAAAATACTTTTCCATTGCTACAAACTCTACAACGTTCGGTTCTCCATCATAATGCAACAGACATTAGTGTCAAATCTATTTTAACACTTTCATTTAGATTTCTCATAGGAAGAAAATATACCAAAAAGATTCTCAGATAAAACTGAGCGGGAATGAGTCATAAGCATGTTGTGCATGTAGTGTACTGTGAAAAGGCACAAGAAACCTGGACAAAGACTGGTGCTGTAGAGGAGAAATATGAACACTTGGAGAAGCAATGTGAAATGTAGGTCTTGAGGAGGAGGAAAAGCCCAGACAATGCTCCCTCGGAAAGCTAGGACTTGCCCGTTAGGCAGGAACCAGGACCACAGGATAACAGCAGAGGACAGCGCGGCAGCAAGATGGCTGTACAATTTGGGATGTATAAACAGAGTCTTTGATCAGTGAAATCCAGACACAAGACCTTTCCATGTGGCTGTGGTGAGTCATGATGGTAGCTAGGGCTTCATACGGACATCTGGAAACTTTGTTTATGAGACAATTATTAACTAAATTCCTGAAACAGGAAGGCTTCATTAAATTTTGGGAAGGCCAGCAGACTTATAAGGAAGACACAAACTACAGTGACTTTAAGAGTAATAGGGTATGCACATGCACACGCAGATGCAAACATAGATACATCTGTACCTGGGAAGACAGACTCTTCACTTTTTACGTAAGTATGTTATAGAAACATAGAATGCTTCGAGTTGGAAGGGACCTTTAGAGATCATCTCGTCCAACCCCTCTGCAGTAAGCAGGGACACTGCTAACTAGATCAGGTTGCTCAGAGTCCCATCCAACCTGGTCTTGAATGTTTCCAGGGATGGGGCCTCCACTACCTCTCTGGGCAACCTGTTCCAGTGTTTCACCACCCTCATTGTAAAAAATGTCTTCCTTATATCCGTTCTAAATCTACCCTCCTTTAGTTTAAAACCATTACCCCTTGTCCTGTCACAGCTAAAAAGATTGTCCCCATCTTTCTTATAACCCCCTTTAAGTACTGAAAGGCCACAATAAGGTCTCCCTGGAGCCTTCTCTTCTCCAGGCTGAACAACTCCGCCTGTCCTCATAAGAGAGGTGCTCCAGTCCTCGCATCATTTTTGTAGCCCTCCTCTGGACATGCTCCAACAGTTCCATGTCCTTCTAGTGCTGAGGGCTCCAGAGGTGGACGCAGTGCTCCAGGTGAGATCTCACCAGAGGTCCAGGTGAAGTCTCACCAGAGTTATATTATCATTGGGTTTGTTTAGTCCTTTACAGTGTGCTTCACACATCTGTGTTTTACGCATGTGTGAAAAAAAGACAAAACTCCCACCAAAGAATACATGTTCATGGAAAATGCGGTTGCCTGCTAAAGAGTGGTTTATATTCAGGGCCTCACAAAAGGGTTATTGTCAAGTTAAGGGTCTTGTTCCCTTAGAAAACATGTCTACTTCAGAAGAGTTGGGGCAAGGTCTGTTTCTGACATCCAAGGCCCGATCCACTTTCCTCTGACTGCAAGCCCACCTTACTGTCTTTTGAGAGTTTTGTGCCATAGGATACTAATGCAAATTTAAATCACTGAGAATGGAGAACAGCTGACATTTGTTAACCATTAAAAGACATCAAGTGCTAAGGTGATCCAGTATGTAAAACTAACACAGTGCCCGTTTTCCACAAAGGAATCCACATTTAATTTCTGCTTGTCTTCCAGAACTGCCAATGGCAATTTGGTGTTTTGTTCCAACTGAAAGTCATCTCACTCGTCTTGGAAAGTATGGTGTAATTTAGCTCAATGTCCTTCGTTATGTAGGGGCAAGTTTCCCGTTTTCACTTGTATCTTTAGATATAATTTCCTAGACTCTTGTGTGAATATATTTTTTTAGTTAGCGGAGGATGACTTGGGGCAGGGGCAAGAGTGGTGTGCTGGAAGTGGAGCAAAGAAGCAGAATAGATACATCTAGGAAATTTTACAACCAGTGCAGGGAAATAATTTCTGATTTGTTACTTTTTTATTCCTTTCTAAGATCCTGAATCCAATCAAAAGCAACTAAATAGCCCTTTAGTGTCTCACTTCCTGCTAATTTGTGTCTCAATGCCCATTTGTGTTTGAGAGTCCTCTATGCTTATAGATAAATACATTAAAGACAAATGTTAACTCATTCATAGCAATCCCACAGATATGTTTTAAATGAAGAAATGTCTGTGTAAGGCACAGTGGGAAAATGGTTTGGTTTGGTAATTAGCTGAGAAGAACTGGACTTATTGCGGAAAAATTCACATTGTTAACTTGCAGCATAATGAACAAAAATTTATTTCAGGGAGAAGTACAGTCGTGCTTCAAAACAGTGAGGTTAAAAGTAGACAGTGATTACATTCAGAAAAAAGTCCAAGAAACTGCAATGAAAGAGCAATTTTATTCATTTTAATATGATGCAGTAGATTCTTTTCTTAGGTAGATGCAGCTATTCTATCATATTTTTGCAGTAGTTTGCATAGAATAAATCCTCAGCCATCTGAGAGTCAAAGCCTCCCTAATTAAATGTACTCTACAATATTCAGTGCATCAAGTTAACCCCAGTTCCTGGTCTGAAACCTGTCAGGCAGACTTAAAAATTAATAATAGTCGCCTGTTTAGCCTCTGTGCAGTGCTTAAATGGATTTTGAGCCTGACATTTCGGCTGATGGACACTTTTCTGAACAGTAATAATGCTTGAGGAAACATTTATTTCCAGCTATTGCTCACCTTACCTACGTTTCAGACTGTAGTTAACTTTTACTTAGAAGGAAGATGGTAGCAGGTCAAAAGAAATGAGAAAGAAGACATGTAAAAGGCACACTGCTGTAGTGGGGTTAATACCTTCCATCATTCACCCTAATGAAAAAGTCTATTTATATCTCTTCCCTTCATTTTTTCATTTCTTTCTTTGTAGAACTATCAATCTATATAAGCCCTTTTGAAGGAACAGAATATGTGAAATCTGTAATCATAAAAGCCTGTCACTATCCTGTTTGTGAATCATTTTCTCCTAAAAATGAACTCAGAAGCTTGTTGCCACCTTGTCAGAGTTACTGAACAGTTTTAATAAAGCAGAGTCTGGAGACTAGGCAAAATACGTTGTTAAAATCATTATTAAATTTCCAAAGAGTTTCTGGACTTTTTTGAGAAACAGTTGATAGCACTATGCCGCTAAATACTGGTTCATAAATATGCCATCGACACATGTCAGAAGTGATAGTTCTGTACTGTACTGTATGTGAATTTGTGGAGTGGAAGCTGAGTTGCATATAAATTGCATAAGGAAAAAAAAGCTAAATCAGAGGGGAAGATTTGCCACAGAACTACAACTGTCACTTCAGCATTTATTATAAAAACAAGACTGAAACACCAAAAAGTCAATCTGAGGAAGCTCGAACCTCTTTTGTACGTGAGCATGAAGGAAGCCATTTATCCCCTAAATGAAACCACAAGAACAAAATTAATAAACAAAGTAAGTTATATTTTTTGTCTCTTCCCTATGCCAACTGTATTCAGAACTCAGCTGTACTTTCAGAACAAAGAAGATGAATCTGTTCTTAAAAAGGAAGAGTTTCCCCATACTGTGGTATCAATAGGAACCTCCATATGCCATCATTACACAAATATTAAATAAAACAAGATACCTTATTACCACTGCTGAAAAACTACTGCATTGCCTTATCTGACATATGACATCACCTTTATACATACCATTGAGCACCTTTTGGCAGTAATGAAACAAGAGAGAAAGAATTTTTTCCTCACATTTAGTATTTGTAGTTACACAGGCCAGCAGTGATAAATCTCTTAAAAATACGTTATCTTTTCTCAAAA